AAAGAGTATAAGTAGATTTTGGTAGGGTTTTTATTTTTAAATCAAGGTCCCTAATTTCCAGCTTCAGCCGCGACAATCATTTACACCACCATAACGATTAAGTACAGTAACCGAACTTTTTATAGCAAATCATTATACAAATCATAATAAGCCCATTACAAACCTAACTCTATCTAAATCACTTATGCAATCACAATAGTCTGTAAATATAGTGACCAAACATTTTACGCCAATCACTATATAAAGCACGATAAGTCTTTTACGAAACTAACTTAACCTTATCTAAATCACACAACCACAATAGTAGTACAATAGTCGGTAAGTACATTACTGCGAATTTTACAGCAAATCATAAAACTTTAAGAAATGACAAAATCTTTGAAGTTTAACTTCAGCATATACTTTTTCTATGCTTTTATCAATGTTTTTAAACCTTCACTCACAGATCCTAATTCATTGCCAAAATCGATGTGAACATATTCCTTCTGATTCGTCCTGAATTTAAATTGTAGGCTGTCATATTTTAAGTCATCACTATGTTTAACATTGGATTTGGGATTGAGAATCAATTTTTCCATCATGGATCTATTTATTACAAATATAATAAGTAAGAATTAAGTAAATTAGAACTAATAATAAATATTTACCTGCTTCAATATCTGTCTGCTCATCATTATCATCTGTCAGGCTTCATTATTATCTACTGGGTCTTCATCATCATTATGTGCCGAGTTATTATTTGCTGTTAAAATTTTTTTTCTTTTGTTATCGACATTTTTTTTTCTCGTTTCACTTTTTTTCTCGCAACCTCTGGCTCTTTGAATAATACTAGCTTATAGATTGCACTTCAAAGGGGCCTTAAATAAAATCCTATTAATGAATTGTCTTCTAACATGCTAAATCAATTTACTATAATTATGTTAATAATTACCAAAAGTATTTTCGGCCTTTTCTTTCCATAGCTCTACAGGGTACTTATCTGCTATGTCCAATTTTATAAAGAGATGATCAATCTAAGTATTTGCTTTTTTGTGTTTCTTCAGGAACCTTTAGGATTCGTCACACCCGAAAATAGACTCAAGACGCGTATTTATGTTTTTCCAGATTATTGCGCGATTTTCACCTCCCATTTCATCCAATATTTTGGAGCCGTTTGTTTCGCTACTCTTATTAGTCTATATATAACTTTGCTGTGTTAATTATTGAAATAGTTTATTAACTCCTATGTATGGTAGGTCTAAAAATTAGTGCCGATAATGTACTATCCTTTCTTACTTTAGTTTTTCAAGTTCGGATTGGATTTTCTAGATTTAATATATTACTAAGTATAATAATATTTAAGTAAAAGATTTTCTAAATTTCATACCATTAATTTCATTTCAGTTTCGTTGAGTATTATTTTATTTTCTCATACTCATAATGATGCTAATAATTAAGGAGTATAAATAATTATTTATATATTTTTGTTTTGACAAATAATTTATCATTTTTGCCGGAAGGTAAGTATCGATATTTTCATATCTTTCTTTAACACTGGAAATATTTGTTTTATTTCTAAGTGGCCTTTTTACAAGATTTAAAATATTTCTTATTACAATGACACTTCCGTTCTCATTAAACTTAAGTTTGAGAATAGTTTTGCTACTTGTTTCAAAAATTCGCCTGAAAGTGAGCATTCGTTTCTGTGATTTTCATTTTTTACAATAGCGGTAGAAAAAAATACGCAAACAAAATGAAATCAGGTAAACAATTTCCAGGTTCCTGGTATGATGTTCAAATTTGAAATTGCGGGCATACATGTCTGCAATACAAGATGCTAAATAATTTTTTTGCTTGAATGTAAGAGACACTGTATGTTCGCATATCGATATAAACGAATGTATTAAAATTTTTGTTTCGTACATTATCACTGTGAAGTCTTTTCATGGTCTTTACGTAGACCATAAATTTTAAGGTTAATGTCAATATTTTGGGCTCAAGTGCAGGGACGTGGAAAATTTGGATTGTTTGCGTTGTCGACCAATCAAATAATCATGAGCAAAGTGTAATTGGTCAAACACCTTAAACCAAAAATTTTACCGTTACGCTAATAACGATAAGATATAATAATAATAATAATAATGATAAGAGTGACGATAGAACTGATAAAAAAATTCTATTGCCGACCCAATTTTCTGATTCCAAGATATGCAAAGCGAAAAATTAACCATGCATGGCCTTAAATATGAACATGAGTCTATTAATCACTGTAAAATTTTTTTTAAAAAAAAATCCGACCGACCGACCGTTGATTTTGAAATCCATGTAATGCAAAACGAAAAATTAACTTTGCGTGGCCTTAGGTTTGTTTTCCTGACCGTGTAACGTTACTCCTGATCTTGAAATGTGATTGGATTCTGATCACGTGCGGGCGGAGTTTTGCGATCTAGGCAGGGTCACCGATTTTTATTTATAAATTCTGCGACTTTCTGTGATTTTTAAAACTACGCCATAAATTCTGCGAATTTATACAATCGAACTTTTCACTGATTGTCTGATCGGAACCCAGATCTTCAACAATTTATAATTTTGCTTAAATTCGCTAAAAATTTTACGAATTATCGTATAACCGCGAAATAACGCACAGGTGCGTTATTTTGAATTTTGGCCGAAAATTGAAATTACACCCCTGCGCGTAATTTCGCGGTTATACGGTACATGCCCAATATGCTATCGCATATGCTATGCGATAAAATCCATGTTTATGTGCATATTATGCTATCGCAGATTTTCGGTGGCCCTATCTAGGGGTAGTTAAATTTTGGGGATAACTACTGACAAAGCAACACGTGACCTATCGCTTTATCGTCACGAGCACTCCAAATTAAAATTTGAGCGAAGATAAATCGGCAATCACATATAAGAATTCAATAAACTTTTTTTTTTTATTTTGAATCTACAGAATTGTAGAATAAAAATGAAAAAATTCATTGAATTTGGTTTGGTTAGATGAGTAACGAGTTATCTTCCTCAAAATCTTGGAAAATTAAAAACGTCTATCAAATGCAAAAAAATTTGCAAAATTTTGAGCCAAATAACTCGGCAATCATATAATTAAATTTGGTGATTTTTTTTTTATTTTTATGATACATTTCTGTAGAATCAATATAAAAAAATTCATCGAACTTAGCTGTCGCAGCTAAATTTTTGTAAAACTTTAAGCGAAAATAACTCGGCAAAAATTTGATGATTTTTTTTAATTTTATTCTAGAATTCTGTAGAATCAATATAAAAAAAATTTTATTGAATTTGGTTGGATGGTTGCCGGGATATTTTCGCTCAAAAATTTCGCTGCGGCCATTATTTTGATAGGCATTTTATATTTTTATTAAACTTTAAGCGAAAATAACTCAGCTACCATTCAACCAAATTCGATAATTTTTTTTATATTGATTATACAGAATCATATAACAAAAATAAAGCAAAATTATTAGATGGTTGTCGAGTTATTTTCGCTCAAAGTTTTGCAAAAATTTTTGCATTTGATAGGCGTTTTAAAATTTTCAAGTTTATAAATAAAGATAACTCGTCTAACCAAATTCAATGGGGTTTTTTCTTCTTATTCTACAAATTCTGTAGATTCAAATAAAAAAAAAAAGTTTATCGAATTATGATGGGTGGTTGCCGAGTTATCTTTCGCTCAGTTATAAAAACTTTAAATATTTTTCTAAAATGGCATTGGTCTTGTTGCTGTGTCGATAGTTTTCCCCTAAAACTTTCGGACGGTCTACGGGCACGTAGCAAATTACGTGATTTTACACTACCGAATATCACGTGATATAGACGTAAGTTGTCAAAGTAGGATTTTTGGACGACAACTGCCTAATAGAATTCAATGAAATTTGTTTAAACCATTCTACAAATTAGTAGAATTCATTAAAAAAAATTTCCATCGAATCTATTAAGTAGTTATCGAGAATTTATCACTCAAAGTTTGGAAAAATAGTTGCGGCAAAAATCTTTTAAATTTTGAATGAAAATTTTTTCAACAACTATCTGATAGAATTCGATAGAAATTTTTAAAAAACTTCTAAAATTGATAGAATTCAATTTAAAAAAAATTCATCAAATCCCATCAAGTAGTTGTCAAGAAAATTTTGTTCAAGTTTGGAAATCTTCTATCGCCCCTTAAGAAAATGACCATGACAGAAATTTCCCAAATTTTGAACGAACGTTTCTCGACACCTACTTAATAGAATTCGGTGAACATTTTATTAAATAAATTCTATTAAATAACATCGTTCATTTAAAAAAATTTCAGAGAATTCTATCAAGTAGTTTTCGAGAAATTTTCGTTCAAAAGTTTAGAAAAATTTCTGTCGCGGCTATTTTCTTAGAGGCGATGAAAATTTTTTTCAAACTTTGGATTAAATTTTCTCAACAAATACTCAATAGAATTTGATGAAATTTTTTTAAATGAATTATATCAATTCGTAAAAGTTATTTAAAAAAAATTTTCTATCCAATTCTATCAGATGGTTATTGAGAAATTTTCGTTCAGAGTTTAGAAAATTTTTGCCGCGGCTATTTTCTTAAAGGTAGTGGAAATTTTCCAAACTTTGAGTGATAGAATTCGATAGAAATTTTTTTTAATGAATTCTACTAATTTGTAGAATAAATTATATTGAATACTATTAGGCAGTTGTCATCCAAAAATTTAAGAAAAATTTTACTACGTATGCCTATATCAGATATCACGTGATATACGGTAGTGCAAAATCACGTGATTTGGTACGTGCCAGAGTCTACGGACAGTTTTTACGGACAGTGTACCTTAACTCTAACCCTAATCCTAATTCTGGCCACTGAGCTGTCCTTAAGAACAGTCCGTAGCTTCTGCGTGCCCGTAGACTGTCCGTAAATCTTTTGTCATTGATCACATTATCCGTATTGTAATCAGGGACACGTAAAAATTCTTTCGATTTAAAGCAAAAATTTCGATAAATTTCGATTGATTTGTGTAAAAATTGCGATAAATTTCGGTGTCAACATATCAAAAAAATTTTTAACGTTGTTCTCGTCCAATAATATTATTATTGTATTATCATGTGATTTTAGGTATTTTTTTGGCCAATAATATTATTTTGGTTGGTCGATATTTTGCTCATGGCGTTACACCGGATCACAGGCTTAGTCATGTGTTGAATCATGATGTTCATGTGTATCAAGTAAGTTATTTTTATTAATAGTCAATCCAAAAAATACTTTATTGTATGTTTAAAAAAAAATAAGTACAAAAGAAAATGAATGCATCATAATAATTATAGTGAATATTTTCTAGGTCTAATTCTATCCAAAAAATACTTTATTCTATGCTAAATAAAAAAAAAAAAAGAAAATGAAAGCATCATAATAATTATAGTGAATATTTTCTAGGTCTAATTCTAACTGGCAATTCCTTACAGATGGTTAGCGTACCGCTTTCAGTCTTTAGAGGGGCATTCATATCAACCAACTCAACATCATATTTTCCAAATACAAAAACCATTAATGAAAGTAATTCTACCATCGCTAATTTTCTTCCAGGGCAAACACGTAGTCCACCTCCAAATGCTACTAATGAAAATTTATGCCTTGGATTACTATCATTCTTTTTATAAAATCGATCCGGATCAAAAATTTCAGGATTAGGCCAATGATCTTTATTCTTGTGAATACCATTAATATTCAAATGAAACGTCATTCCAGCTTCCCATTGATAGCCAGCTACCTCACAAGCATTTGTAGTATATCTTAGGGTTTCATTTGCAACTGGCATCATTCGACTAACTTCATTAATAATTGCATCACAATATTCTAATTTTAAAAGATCATCATGTTTCAAATTGAAAGGAGTATTTGGAGGGAATATTGAATCGATTTCTTCAATCATTTTTTGTTTAACATGAGGGGAATGACAAACGTAGTAAGTTACGTAACCTAATGAATTTGCCGTCTAAAAAATGGTTTGGACATTAACGTTAATAAATTTAATGAACAAATATAGAGGATAAAATATAATACACGTGACATCTACATTAAATTAATACTTACAGTGTCAACTCCGCCTAAGAAAGCGTCAAGCACGTTGCCTCTAATCTCAATGTCCGTCATTGGTCTACTGATATCATCTCTAGTAGTATTTATATTCTTCATATCTTTTTCTGTGTTAAGAGTAATTAAAGTTGTCAACATATCATGCTTTAATTCGGCGCCTATAGGCATTTCTTCAATCTCTTTTCTTCTTTTTTTAATAATAGTATCTAATGTTTCAAACACATAATCTCGGTTTTTAAGTAAAGCTTTAACTTTATCTTTAATCGTTGGTGAGTAATGACGTAAGAATGAGCCAAAGTACATAAAGTAAGTGAAACCGAAAAGATGATCGCTAAATGATTGAATAAATTTTTCCGAATCTTCAATTAATGGATTAGAACGAGTAACTTTCACAGGACTATGAAGATTATAATATGAAGCCATAGAATAAGATCTTTCACCAGTAATTAAAATTACAATCATATCACTTGTAAATCTACGAGCCCAGTTAGATAGATCTATTTCCATTTGCCAATCATTTTTATCATTTTGTAAGTTATTTTTATTGGATAATTTTAAATTTCCAAGAGATTGCCAATAATTTTCCAATTCTTTCAATAATACATTAGTCCATTTAACAGCTTCATTGTTAAAACTTGGTGTAAGAATAGCTTGATTAAAAAATTGACGATTAAATCTCCAACTTTTTATATCATGATTTATTATAATTCCTCTTCCAGCCATTCCAAGTTCTACAAAACCTTCAAAATGAGGTATTCTTACCATAAATGTAGTATCTTTAGATGATGGAGTTAAAATTTTTTCAAGATATTCAGGACGTGAAATTAAGACCCTTCGACATCCACCAAGATAAAATTCACATAAATCACCATATTTTTTATTTAGTGATGTAAATAATTTTTTAGTGTCGCCATCAAATAAATAACTACATTCTATAAAGGGAAGAGGTAATGGTCCAGGTAATTTATTAGGACGCGTAAAATATTTATAATAGAATTGAAAGACATATGTTAAAAAAGAAATTACGATTATAATAAGGCAATCAGTAAATTTAAGAGCAGAAATAATATTGTAGATAGCCTTTTTTTTTTTCTAAAGAATTGTTTCTAAAGTAATAAGAGTTGTTTCTAAAGTAATAAGAATTTGAATTTTTATTTTTGATATATTCACGGTACTTCAGCATGAATCTGTTTATATAGTTAAATTTAATCGTTATTACGCAATTACTGCACATTAAGTAATTCATATCTGATAAAATATCTTCTTATTCTCAGGATTTAAATTCCTAAAACAGATCCGCAAAAAAAATTATCTAAATCTGAAAGTTTATTGAATTCCTTTAATGTTAGAATCGTTTCGGGAACATTGAATTGTTACATCTTTTAATAATTATTAGTAATATCGTTAAATTATGTAACAATTTAATGTCCCTGCAAGGAAAAAACTTGATTACTGGAGTATTTAATTATTCTAATGTTAATGTTAACTTTGAAGGAATCTAATTGATTTTCAGAGTTAGGGTGCTTTCAAATATCCCTCTGTGATTGACCAATGATCGAAGTACTACAATTAATTTAAGTAATCCTTACTAAAAATTCATGTTGCTAAAATGCGGATATTAAATTTTAGCCAATCAGCACAACCCTATGATAAAAAAAGATGGTCATTTTTTTCATCACGATAATGAACACATTTGATCGGCTAAACTATTTTCCACTAATTAAAATTTTGACCTATGAGTTTAGGTGCTTGAGAGCACCCTTAGATAATTTTTTTGCGGATCTGGTTTAGGAGTTTTTAGTCCTGCAGTCTTGAGAATAAAGATATTTTTATCTGATATGAATTACTAAATCACTTAATGCGCAGTAACTGCATAGTAACTCGATTTAATAGCATATATAATTATGTAATTACTACGTTGTTGCTATGCAGTTGCAGCGTATTATTAAGATATTTAAGTGAAGGTCTATTACCAATAAAGTAAATAGGACCTTCCTTGGCGATTTTATAATTAAATTCAAACACGGAGTTAAATAAACAGAAACAATGAACTCTTACATTATCGTTAGTCAATGGATATGCATGTCAACATATCAACAGATTTGCGGAATTGAATCGAAATTATATACCTTGATTTAACAACTGCAGTATGTACAATAACAATCACATAGTTAAAATTTATAGGCCAATTCCGTAAATTCGTCAATATGATATAATAAGTTTGGGGGACCAATATGAGGATTGACCGAGTATAGTACAGTACGTATTGTGATCGAACCGAAATTGAGTGAGACATGCATATCGAACGACCAACGCATATAAACCAAATCGAGAAAAAACCAGGGTCGAAAAGCTTAGGTTTCAGAATGGCGAAATGTTGGAGAAATAGGTAAATTAGGTAGTGTCTTTGAATTGTATAAAAGTTGATGCAAAATAATTAATTAATACAGATCTTTCATAGTGCCAAGGATTCTAATAAAGAACCCGTCAGATAAAGATTATTAGTGTTAGTGTGTTAGTGCTAAACTGTTAAGTAGTGTAAGAGAAGTAAACTCACCAAATCTAACGCTTCAAGTGGAACCTCCAATAAATCGTTTCCTTCAGTATGTACGTACTGTACGTACAGTACGTACAGTACGTACGTACGTAAATAATCAATGCATTTAACCAATGAAGGGCTTATCTATTAAGAAATATATATTTGATGAAATTCTTTTTTCAAAATCCATTGAAATCTATTACAGTCTCAAAATAAATTTGTTGTTCTGGTAACCCGTTTAAGTATAGTTTCGATTCATAGTCAGTAAGTTGTTTATTATGAATAATTCCGCGTGGGAGTTTTTTTTTGGGACGGCTAAAAATTTTCCGAGAACCGAAATTTTCAATTGTTCCAGAATTTATGAAACAATTGCAATATTTTCTATACAAAAAAAAACACTACCTTATTTGCATTAGGGTGATTCAGAATTAATGTTCAGGTTTCTGATTTCTAATTAAATAAGTGACGTATTTGGTTTGAAATAAGTGATTTATAAATTCTATTTTTATTTTTTTTTACGATGATAATATTTCATCAGAAAAATACATCTATTTCGTTTTCTGGAATCTTAAAACAGAAATTGGATTTTTTAAACATTTATCTTAAAAATAAGTATAAGAACTCAATTCCTTCAAGAAACATTATGTAGTTCTTGGACCTGTTATTCATCTTCTCATTAAATTTAATAGATTCTATAATTAAAATTAACATCTAATGTATAATGGATCCAAACTTTATTTTCAATATAATTCCACAAATTATAATTTTTTTTTATAGGCACTAGTAATAAATAAAACTTCTAAATTTTTTTTGATTAAAAATATGTATCAGTGCTCTAATCATCCAAAAACCATATACACATATTTAGATAATTTACTGAGTGACAAATTACTCAAGGCTGTGTCTTCTTATTTGGACATTGTATATATCGTGGTTTAAAAAAGAGTGCGAAAAACATTGGCCTGCACTAGTTATTTTATGGCTGTATGCCAGCTACTTAAGAAGCTGGAGATTTATTTATTAGGTAAGCAGTATAAGAGTATGGAGGTAATACAGTATATACATTTATAGGTGCTGAAACAGTGATTTCCCGAAAGAGTAGGGCTGAGAGTCACTGTAACAGACCAGGTAGAAAATAGTTGAGCAATGTCAACGTGATTATCAGCCGGTGGTTTCCCGCCTGCTGAAGCAGGCCGGCTGTAAAATGGCAGAATCAGGTGACTGTCCTCACATTATCAGAAGTGGGCTGGGTGGGGCAAAAATTATCTCGATGGAATTTTCTGGGTAAGAGTTATCATTATCCGATGTTTTGTGTATTTATATAAAAAGGGTGGTGGCTTGTTGTACGTATGATTTATGCGCAGTCCTGTGGCTGCCGATCGTTATCGATGCTGCGCCTGTTTGATTTTGTCGTACGCGTGGTTTTGTGGTCGTCTATCATCAGTGATGCTGGGCATGCATGTCGTTGGTTTGTTTTTCATGCTTGGATGTTTGAAATGGTGTGCTGATTGGTGTGTAACCGTGTCCGGCCTTATTTTTTCGAACAGTTAACTCTGGTCAACTAGCAGGATCCAATCAAATTGCGTGTTTCGTCAGCGAGTTAACCCAAATGTTGAACGCAGAAATAGGCGAAAAATTTTATTTTGCAGATAAAATTAATCACGCGTAGGATCGATTTTCAGAGCACGTGATTATGTTGTCAATTAGCCAATTAAAAATCAGAATTAGGTGTAACATAAAAATTCTAACCTTTAACATAAATTAATTTTTATTAATATCTGGAAATCACGTGTTCGGAAAAATCCTAAGCCCTGCAATTTTATTTCTACAGGAGTAGCCATAAAAATTACATGTATTCAACACAACCCTTAAGTTAACGTTAACTTGCTGTGAATTAAAATAATTTACAACGCATAACAGTAATTACACAACAATCTTTTAAACTAGGGAATTCCGAAAAATTATTTTTTAACATGTACGCATAATTTATTAATAATCAATTTATTAAAAATCGTTTGGACAATTTTATCGGGTAAATTCAAAAATATGGTTTATAAGGTAAATAATTTTCTTTCTTTCTGTAAATATAATCTTTTTAAACAATAGCAAAAACAAAATAAGTAAAAACTCGAGCCTATGCCAGTTTTTTACTGGTAAGCCCCGAGCAAGAAGCCGGCGCGCGGCGGGGGGCCCACTGCCGGACCGGAGTAGTTAGATAATCGAGTTTACTCTGTAAAAGTTAGAAAGGTTAATATGAGATTATTGATTGTTAAACAGCGGCATTGTCATGCCGTATTTCAAACTATTATTTATCACTTTTTATTATTAAGTTCAATTTAGCGCTTATCTTAGTAAATAAATTGATTTATTATACATCAGATAATAATATAAGAGATAGTTTATGAAACTAGTAAAATGATAATTTAAAAATCCGAATTTATAATTTCCAATCTCATAATATATATATATTTAAAAAAAGTAATCGCACTACGACATGACAATGCTCCAAATATAAACTGTGTACATTAAACTAACCTCGATTCAATTGGATTACTCAAAATTAATTGAGTAATGCCCCCCAAGAGAGTATGTTTCGTTAAAAGGTTGCATTATCATCTTGATAATGCCCCCCAGGAGAGTATGTTTCGTTAAAAGGTTGCATGTTATCATCCTGATAATAAAATAAAAAGCGGAATTAAAATCATAAAAGCATTAAATTCATAAAGGCTTGAAGATACAATTGTACGTACTGTTGTTTCGTTAAGGTGCGAATATGCGTTCGCAGTATCCACGTTAGAGATGGCGTTCATAGTATCAGAATATTCGTCAAATTCATTTTCAGGGGTCACCAAACCAGTGACCTCCAGTGCTTCCCATGCGGGAAGCACTCCCGGAGGACCGCTACAAGGCACGTCCTGGAAGTCACATAGCGATGGTGCACCGACAAATGGACCCGGTGATAGTGTGACTGTTTGGGCAAGGTCCCAAGTGTTTTGGGGCAAGTTGTCCTGAAACAAGCTGTCCGGGTTAGGTGCAAGTGTATATTGTCCTGGGTTTGGTGCATTTGGCGCTGGTTGTCCTGGTGAATATTGTCCTGGGTTTGGTGCAGGTGTATATTGTCCTGGGAGAAAGATGTACCGAGTTACGGTAGCGAGGAGCAAGTAATGAGTTACGGTGTGAATGTCCTGGGTTATGGGAATTACTGCCAAAGTTTCAGTTGCTGGTGATGGTAGAAGTTCAAGGTCTTGCGACGTAGTCGATTGACTTGATGATTCCGAAGATATGTCGTCTGGTACCATAGTTTCCCAAAATATGATGTCAGTAATTCGGTAGAAAAAATTTTTTTTTAAAAAAAATATGTATGCATTACCAAATTGAAGAAACGCATCAACTTCTTCATTGTCAGTAAAAGATTCGGGGGGATCATTAGAATCAATAACTTCCTTCTTTTTTTGCGGACCCCTCCTGGTGGGCGGTTCAAAGATGCAGTCATCTGCACTAATATTCCGCTTTTTGCAATTTTCGCACGGTTTAGGACCCAGGTGGCCTGTACATTTTACTTTTTTCTTTTTACACGTTAAACAGGACCTCGTAACATTTTTTCTTGACGTTTTCCTTGCTTTACCCATTTTATTTTTTTTAAAAGAAAGTTTAGTGGCAAGCGCAAGGAAAAGTAGAGAAAACTCCACCCTTTATATATTATTAATCTCGTTAAATCAAAATGTTTTCCTAATTAGTGGATAATACAATATCTACAGGATCAGTTTTTCCGTTAAGAAGGTTTATATAAGGAATGTTGCATAAGAATTTAGCCAAATTTGAACAAGTTACGCAGGTTACGCAGTAGATTAGGTCAGACGACTAAAATATTCAAATATTGTTGATCAGGCGTACATGTAACACTAGTACGTAAAATTTATTCATTACTACTATTGAATATCGGGTGTAACCTTTTTTCTTTTTTTTTTATTGTTATACAAATTATGCATGCAGGCAGGCTGACGGCAAACATTTGAATTATTTGGTATTATTAAATCTAAATTTTTCACAAGAAACGTTTCACAATTTCTTGAAACAGAAATATTGATATCGTGTGATCTACTTGTGCGCATAAAAATAGTATAAAATTATTTTAAAATACATTATTGATATACTTAAACTCTCAAACCTGTTGGAAATGAATTCAATGAATAATCATGTTGACTCTGACCAAGAAAGAGAGTCAGAAAAACGAATTCTTGACGAGTTTAAAAATCTTAGTAATGAAGAAGCTCACGAGCATGTACAACAACGTTTATTGGTTTTAAAACGTGGTGTAAATACTCCGAAAGCACCAGCAGATTTTTTAGGATCTGATAGTCGTGAATCTTTGATTCCTTTAATGCAAAATGCATTACGTGGAATTCTTGAATCAATGAATGATAGTCGTAAAGAATGTTATATTTTTGATATCATGCCTGGTAACGAGACTCAAGTGGACTGGTTTCTTGCACAAGAATTAGAAAAATATATTGGGAAACGAGATCATTATTTGTATGTGATAGAACACAATAAAAAATTTTTAGATTCATATAAACAGAGAGTGAAACAATACCAACATCTAAAACTGGGAAAACCTTATGATAAAAAGGTTAAAGATTATTATCAGAGACTTCCAGATGCAAAACTTATGGATTTTATTATTTGTATGGATATATGCTTTTTGTGAGTACTTGTTGAGAACTATTTTCATCGAAAATTATTATTTATTTACAATAATTAATTCAAATTTATTATTTTAACATAAACAAAAAATTATCATTTTAATAACAATTATTTAATAATAGAACTGATTATTATGAAAAAATTGGTCATCCTGAGAGTGATATTATTGAATTCGTCAAGTTCCTTTATGGTCATTTGAGACCTGGTGGCGCCATATTCCTCACCTATTTGGACCTCGACAGTTCATTCTCCCAGGTCAATGCTAATTACTTTAAAGAAAAAGAGAAAGATAATGATGGAACAACTCAAAGAATTATACAAATTACTAAAGCACGAGAAGAATTATTATATAATGGAAAGATCGTTGACCATTTAAATAAATTAGATGAATCGAAGAAAACATGCCCGAAAGTTGAGTCTCACAAACTTTCTACTTTTTATTATGCCAAAAGTTTGGCTGATGTGGCTGTAATGAGTTTGGATGGAGGATTTTTAAAATATAATAAGAGTAAGTTTGATTATAAGCACTTAGAATTTGTGGTAAACAAGGTCAAGGAAGTAGCTTCTACAGATGTTAACAGGGGTGACAAAAGAGAATTTGGATTGTGTAAAGCCGAACGTGGTAGAGATCCTTTATGGAGGGTTGAGAGTTTACAATATGCCTGCATTATTCGCAAGGAAGTTGTTAATTAGTAATTATAATGTCATTTTTTTTATGTATAAATAGACTCGCATATAAATAAAATGCCATTGAATTATATTATGACCGACATGTTTGCTGGTTATTTACTTTACTTTTCTATCTAATTCTTCATCTTTCTACATCTAATTCTTCATTTAATATCGTATCTCTAATTCTACATCTAATTTTCATCTAATTCCGAATTAATCACAAAGATTAGTGAAAGATGGCGATGGTATTACATATTTATTATATTGTTACATCCTCGTTGATCTTTTTATCCGCATGACACATCTCATTCATGTGTTTATATTTTGTGTTCCCTTATTAGTAAATAATTTAAGGAACAGGTATTTTCCACACTCTTCGATCACCGCATGTTACGTAAAGTTATAGTAAAAATGAGGGTCATATTGCATTACTCAATTTTTGAGCCGGAGTATTCGGACCACACATCGTCCATAATTTCATAATATATACGTAATAATTTATAATTTGCGGGAGTGTAGAAATACTTGTTTCCTAATTTTATTTTGAAAACCAATTACTAATTATTTTTCACGTACTATACAAAATTATAAGTTTACTTTAAAACGTTCGGATATATGTAAATCGGTTCGTCTTGAACGGTGCGCATATACTGAATGGGCCTCATTCTAAATCTTAGGCACCTATGTATGTAGGCAAGTTGACTATATACTTGGATATGGCCTATATAGCATAGCTATAGACGCATAGAAATGTTAGAAAAATTTCTATGTATGATATTTCCATTTATGAACTAAAAAATATACATATTCGGCTACTTACCAAACCTGCTTTTTCGTTACTCGATTTTAGTTATAGTTTTACACATTTACCTATCCCACTTTGTTTGATATAAACATTAAGTAAACATTAATTCATATGAACGTTTCTTTTGAGTCACAAACACGATATCTAGTCATATTTGGTAGTTCATTTTTTGAGTTACAAACTTTGTAACAGCTGAATCCTTACAGAATTTGGCGCAGTTCTACTTGTTCAACAGAAAAGCGAATTACAGTACAACAGTGTCGGTGAATATAGAGCATTTTTTTTTGTCTTTTTTTAAAGTACTATTTATACGTCATTACAGAATCTTTAACAGTAATCTCGGCATAATTTATCACTTAGAGCAGCAACCCTGATTTGTAGTTACACAACATCGATATGTGTGTTCCTTGGTGGATTATTCTACTGCTTTATGCCATCGGTTTCTAACAAATCATGAATTTCATTAACGTATTCTCACTTGCAATACCGATACCGATACTATTTTATTTTCACGATTATTTTGGAAAAGATTGGAATTATATTGTGCAAAAGCCACAGTCTAGAACTTCAACACGATGGTAAACTCATTTATTGCACGGGTCTTATGTAACAACACGTGCTTTTTACATTTACTTATTGGCACGGGATTGTACTCAGACACCGTGCAATAAAATAGTTATTATATGGGTTATAAAATAACTAAATTTGCACGGCATGGCCTTCGGCCATGTAAACCCGTGCAAATTTAGTTATTTTTTACAACCCATACAATAACTATAACAGATCATTATTGGGTGAGTTTTTCCGTATGTGTTTCATCAATCTCGCAAGATCAAAAATCTTTTATCCATGTTTATCACCGTTCAGATGCCATCAGCTTTGTAAGAAGTGATGCAATTTTTTGAATGAGGACAACTCTTTTAAGAATTAGAGAAGTGAGTTTGTCGCTCGAAAACCCTGATTTACATCCGAGTATAGTGAGCTAGGTTTGCGCAATTACTAACTGCTAAGTTATATACAATAATACTAGACCTCTATCTATAAATCATTTAAAGTAACCTTTGGATTGTACCCCTTTCTTTGATGGTATCTCTCAGGTACAAATCAAGTTAATTAGGAATATTTTTTATTTAAACTCCGTTTACCGAATGCTGCGCTCTACAGTACGTTATTATTTTGACACCAATTTTCATAACGATAAGCTTGTTTTCATTTTATTATCGTGACCAGATTTAGCAGGTAATGAATGCCAACTCAATTGTTGATAACGGAGTTTCCATTCCTCAGGAAAATTTTTGATGACAAATGAATGCCAACTCAATTGTTGATACCGGAATTTCCATTCCTTTCTATAAGATATTATGATTTATTTTATTTATTTTTATTTTTATCGACATTCTATTAATAAGAAATATCCTTTTTTTATCCTAGTATGAAATTAATATGTATCACTGTTTCAGATTGTCGGAAATTCCTCAACACTAATAGCAGATCAAGAGCTAAGATAACGATAAACTAATGATACTCAGTTAAAAATTAAACATAATACCATATCTTTATTGTGTTACAATATAATATTGAGTTCATAATTAAACATCGTATAAATGTTGTAAGATTTGGAAATCTGTAGATTCGAAATCCAGTATCAAATTGATATTAGGTCTTTAAAAAACAATATAGTAGTTCCTACTCATTTTGCTATGGCAATAAATTGCAATTTTTATAAAGTTATTGCACTATAATATACCGATTTGATTAATTAATTAAAGTAAATACTATTTTAGAGGTCGGCTAAAGCGAAGTGAATTTTCTAATTTAACGTTTATTTAATTAAACAATAGGGTTAGAGCTATTTGAAGTTATATTTAAGTGTGTTTATAAGTAAAATTGCTTCCCCAACATTTTTTATTAATGTACCAAAGTAGGTTTAGACTACCGTTTCTTTTTTCGCATTTTCTCTTTTTTTCGCTTGTTTTGTTTCCTCGGTTAGTCAAAAATTTACAATTTGATTGGTCGATCGCCTGTCGATCATCAAAAATCCTAGCCTACCCTCTAAAATAGGAGAACCGCTAGATTTTCCATTGTATGTGACCAATCAAAGTCGCGAATTTTTTGTTTACACGGATCAGCCCGCGAAGCCCGACGAAGAAAAAAAAAGTAAAAAAAAAATGCGAAAGATACAAGAAACGAATGTCCAAACCTATCTTTATTCATTAAAAAAAAATGTCGGGAACGATTTTACCTATAAAATCTTCTAACCTTAGCCCATACGGACCCTAACAGTACCCTAACCTGACCCTAACCTTAACCTTAACCTTAACGTTAATAATTTTTTAATTAAATTTCGCGATGGCACCTGGCTTTTTGTCCCTCATCGAGGGGTGATACAAGGCAATATTCAAGACAAACAAACGCAAACCACAAAGACAAACGGAAACA